TTATTGTAGCTAGCTTCACAAAGGTGGGTCCGACCACCATTAATCAAATAAGACGTTTTATAAATTAGGGGAATTTTAGATGATGACTCCTAGCTAGATAGTTAGCTAGCTAACTATAGCTACTAAAACAGATTCTGTCGTTTTGCTATGTTTTTGGGTAAGAAGATTGTTTGCATCCATCAGCCAACTTGTGGTCCTCTGTAGCTCAATTGGTAGAGCATGGCGCTTGTAACGCCAGGGTAGTGGGTTCGATCCCCGGGGCCACCCATACGTAAAAATGTATGCCCACATGATTGTGGGCATATTATATTATTATAAAGTTAGCTAGCTTTTTTTTATGACCAGCACTATCCAGAGCTTGGAGAAGGGCAGGTGCGCGAGACAAAACTTTACCAGCATCATAGCATACCTATCGATGAGTCGTTGTGACATATGAAATGAGTGATAGTGTAATAAATGTGTAATAACTACGTAAAAAATATATGACACGAAAAGACCCAAACGGCGTTCGATACTTATCATCCGTACCCATCTCCAACCCTATAAAATCAGTTAGCATCTAGGCTAGCAGCACCCATCTCCAACCCTATAAAAGCCGTTATCATCCGTACCCATCTCCAACCCTATAAAAGTAATTATCATCCGTACCCATCTATTACCCTATAAACGCACTTATCATCCGTACCTATCTCTTACCCTATAAAAGCAGTTAGTATCCATACCCATCTCGAACCCTATAAAATCAGTTAACATCTAGGCCAGCAGCAGTTATGGCTTTGCAAGAGCAGGCCCTGTCTTAGAAAATTATCACTATACTTATTAAAAATCAAAGTTCTTCCAGAGTTTTTGTAGAATCAAGATAGACAGTATTACATAGAGCAACAAAAGCCGAGCTGATCTGCAGAGCAACTAACTCCCAACACTCGGTCCTCAGTTTATATACAATGTCCATTCCTGCTCGTTTTATTTACTCTTTAGCTTAAACCCTCCCAATTCAGTTTCTCCACTATTGTTTCCAAACTTTCATATTTTGACCGCTCTGCCCACTCTCTTTATTTATGATAGTGGCAAAATCTGACTTCTCCTCCTATATTTATTTAGTTTGAAAACAATAGTGGACAAACCAAGCTTTCTCATGTAAAAAAAATCGCCATCTCCTGGCTCTGCTCTGTTTATTCCAAAACATATCAATCGATACTTAAATATGGTTTAAACATGGCAGATCCATAACCCATTCTCAACCATATACATTTAAGACATTCCTAATGCATTGCCTCATACATAACAGTATAATCAATGAAGAGCCATGTCCTGACTCTGGCTCAGCCTCCCTCCTTGTGTACCACTAGGTACCACACTCCATATTCACTTAGTCATACTGCTTGTCTTTATAATTAGCTATGTTTTAATCTTTATAGTCTAGAAAGATGTACTATGTTTAACCTATGGTCTGACCTTGGGTACCACTCGGTACCATGGCTCTGTATGGTCTACTGAAAAAATACCCAACAGCCCCTATGACACAGCCATTTCCAGTCATGATATTCCCTTTGCAATTAATACAACGTAAAAGACAGAGAGCCAGCACATCACAGATGGACTCCTACTCATGTTGTGATCATTACAACCAAATTAATGAGAAGCTACATTGGTGTTCCTACATGTAATACAGTGCAATAATTAAATCAGTTACAATTAGCTATAATCTGCTGTATTGCAGTGTTTATTTGGAGGAACAAAAAAATATTTTATAAAATACATTCTATAATTGAATCTGAACATGACAGTATTATATGAAACCAGGTGAAGGCAGTAAATGAGGGCCATTTAGCTTTACTGTTTCCTCCCTACTGCATCATATAGTGTGAGTGACTCATTTATCCACTGCTCTGCAACATTAGCACTGCTAGCTACATGACAACACATCTCATACTGCTGAAACAGCACCTAGAGGGCCTCTTCATTTACAACAGGAGATTTGCATTACCGGGTACATCCCAGAAATGGAATGACTTCCATTCAAGAGTCCTAACAATAACAATGATGTTATTGTTGATGTAAAATGTATGATGTATAATTGGTATATTGACATTTGTATGTATTTTTTCCTGGGACAAATAAATACAATAAAGATTTGCTGTAATGATCTGTCATCAGGTATCTTTTGCCAAATCTAGTCAATCAACAAAATTAAACTAACATTGTATTTCTGAGAACTGAATCTGTTGGCATATTTCTTTTGTGAGTGTCATAATGATATAAAACAAATACATGTCTTATGTGCTATCTAGTTCCAACAGATTCAGACCAATTGAATGATTATTGTTGTATTGCAGGTCTATGTGAATGTGAGAAAATTGGACCTATCATCTCAACACAGTGCATCAAAACAATGAGTGCCTCTAGCTGTACTATCAACACTAGACAGCACCATCTCTCTCTCTCTCTCTCAATTCAATTCAATTCAATTTAAGGGCTTTATTGGCATGGGAAACGTATGTTAACATTGCCAAAGCAAGTGAAGTAGATAGTAAACAAAAGTGAAATAAACAATAAATACATTTGGCAGGAGGTTAGGAAGTGCAGCTCAGTTTCCACCTCATTTTGTGGGCAGTGTGCACATAGCCTGTCTTCTCTTGAGAGCCAGGTCTGCCTACGGCGGCCTTTCTCAATAGCAAGGCTATGCTCACTGAGTCTGTACATAGTCAAAGCTTTCCTTAAGTTTGGGTCAGTCACAGTGGTCAGGTATTCTGCCACTGTGTACTCTCTGTTTAGGGCCAAATAGCATTCTAATTTGCTCTGTTTTTTTGTTTGTTCTTTCCAATGTGTCAAATAATTCTCTTTTTGTTTTCTCATGATTTGGTTGGGTCTAATTGTGTTGTTATTGTTGTTGTTGTTGTTGTTGTTGTTGTTGTCCTGGGGCTGTGTGGGGTCTGTTTGTGTTTGTGAACAGAGCCCCAGGACCAGCTTACTTAGGGGACTCTTCTCCAAGTTCATCTCTCTGTAGGTGATGGCTTTGTTATAGAAGGTTTGGGAATCACTTCCTTTTAAGTGGTTATAGAATTTAACGGCTCTTTTCTGGATTTTGATAATTAGCGGGTATTGGCCTAATTCTGCTCTGCATGCATTATTTGGTGTTTTACGTTGTACACAGTGGATGTTTTTGCAGAATTCTGCATGCAGAGTCTCAATTTGGTGTTTGTCCCATTTTGTGAATTCTTGGTTGGTGAGCGGACCCCAGACCTCACAACCATAAAGGGCAATGGGTTCTATAACTGTTTCAAGTATTTTTAGCCAGATCCTAATTGGTATGTCAAATTTTATGTTCCTTTTGATGGCATAGAAGGCCCTTCTTGCCTTGTCTCTCAGATCGTTCACAGCTTTGTGGAAGTTACCTGTGGCACTGATGTTTAGGCCGAGGTATGTATAGTTTTTTGTGTGCTCTAGGGCGACGGTGTCTAGATGGAATTTGTATTTGTGGTCCTGGCAACTGGACCTTATTTGGAACACCATTATTTTTGTCTTACTGAGATTTACTGTCAGGGCCCAGGTCTGACAGAATCTGTGCAGAAGATCTAGGTGCTGCTGTAGGCCCTCCTTGGTTGGTGACAGAAGCACTAGATCATCAGCAAACAGAAGACATTTGACTTCAGATTCTAGTAGGGTGAGGCCGGGTGCTGCAGACTGTTCTAGTGCCCTCGCCAATTCGTTTATATATATGTTGAAGAGGGTGGGGCTTAAACTGCATCCCTGTCTCACCCCACGGCCCTGTGGAAAGAAATGTGTGTGTTTTTTGCCAATTTTAACCGCACACTTGTTGTTTGTGTACATGGATTTTATAATGTCGTATGTTTTTCCCCCAACCCCACTTTCCATCAATTTGTATAGCAGACCCTCATGCCAAATTGAGCCAAAAGCTTTTTTGAAATCAACAAAGCATGAGAAGACTTTGCCTTTGTTTTGGTTTGTTTGTTTGTCAATTAGGGTGTGCAGGGTGAATACGTGGTCTGTCGTACGGTAATTTGATTAAAAACCAATTTGACATTTGCTCAGTACATTGTTTTCACTGAGGAAATGAACTAGTCTGCTGTTAATGATAATGCAGAGGATTTTCCCAAGGTTGCTGTTGACGCATATCCCACGGTAGTTATTGGAGTCAAATTTGTCTCCACTTTTGTGGATTGGGGTGATCAGTCCTTGGTTCCAAATATTGGGGAAGTGTAGGATTTGGGTTTATTTTGAATTTTTTCTTGGTTCCAATGGAGGGGT